ATGTGCATGCACACACACACACACACACACACACACACACACACACACACACGAGGGTAATAAAGGCAGTAGAATGCAGCAGTTAAGAACCAGAGTTGGGCTGTGCTGTGATATCTACCCTTTTGTAATCTCAGCTAATAGAGAGACTGAGACAAGAGAATGTCAGATTCTAGCCCAGCCTGGGCTCAGGGAGACCCTGTCTCAAAATAAAAAATAAAAAGGGGGTAGAAATGTAGCTCAATGTAAAGGCCCTGCATTTAGTGCCTAGTACCGGGAAGGAGAAACAGAACTAGAGTTGGGCCACCGAGTTCAAATCTCAATGCCACTTGCTGTGTGAGCTCAGGCAGAAGATTTCCCCTCTTGGCCCGTTTCCTTATCTGTAAAGCAGCAGGGAAATCAAACTCATGGTGATCCTCCTGCCTCAGCCTCCCAAGTGCTGGGATTACAGGTGTGTGCCACACGCTGGGCCAATCAATGTGAAGTTTAAATGAACCCAACTAACAGAAGTAAGGTTCATACAACAGAGCCTACACAGAGGAAGCATAATTGAGTAAGATTTAGCCCAACAGAAATGTCATGTCAAGAGCTGGGGATTTAGCTCGGTGGTGCTATCAACTGTCTCCAAAGCACAAGGTCCCGAGTTAGATCCCTGTTACCAAACAAACAAACAAACAAACCATGGTACGGTAGCGACTTGCCTGGTATCCCAGAACTCTGGAAGACTGAGGTGGGAGGATTGAAAGTTCCAGCCCAGCCAACAAAATTTAGCAAGTCGTCAAGACCCTGTCTCAGAGTAGAAAATAAAGAAAGGGTTGAGCATGTGGCTCAGTGCAAAGCTCTGGGTTTGGACCTCTGTACCAAAAGAAAAAAAGTGGGGGACAAGAAATAGAACATGACCTACTTGCATCTCTTAATTATGCTGGTGACTACATATTTTTAAAATACTGTAAAAAGATGAAATTAATGTTGAGATTATAGGACTGGGGATGTGACTCAGTGGTAGAGCACTTGCCTAGTATATTTAAGACCTTGGTTCCATTCTCAACACTGGAGAAAAAAATTATATATTCCCAACAAATCCAAAATATGATCCATTTCAACATGGAATGATTTTCAAACACTGCTATATTTTATAGATATTCTGTCAAAGCTAAGTCTTGTTTGTTTGGTTAGTTTGAGACAGGGTCTCATGGAACTGTGTAGCCACAACTAGCCTCAAACTTTTAAAATCCTCCTGCCTCAGCCTCCTGACCACTGAGGATTACAGGAGTGTGCCACTGTTCCTCACCCAAACCGAGTGTTTGCGCTCTGATGCATCTTACCCCTCAGAGTGGGTTCCGGCTCGGTGACTCCTGCACAGCTCAGTCCCACCCTGGCTGCTGTTGTAGCGCACTTGCCCCAGGCACACGCTCACTGTCCTTTCTTGTGTCCAAGTTGATCCCCAGGGCTGGGTCTGCTGCCAGGGGAGGTGGGGGTGCAGTAAGGGCTGAGTCCTTCCGGCTGTGGTTCCCTAACCTGACATCTCTGCCACTCCTCACCCCCAGAAACTCATTGAGGCCATCGATGGGCTGCTGGAAGCCCCCGGGGACATAAAAGATCTGACCCTGCAACAGCGGCACCTTGTGGCCACCTGGCTGCTCTCGGACCTGGAGCACAGCCTGAGGTCCCTGGCCCAGGCCCTGCCTGAGGGCAGCTTCATCTACACATCCCCTTCCAGCACAGGTGAGGCTCTGCCCTCCCCGCTCAGCCCAGCCTCGGCCTGTACCCCACATCCCCAGTCACTGCCACCTCCCCCCAGAGCTGGCCCTGATGGTCAACGAGAGCGGCCGTGGAAACGTCACCGTGGGCCAGAGCCACTCGAGGATGCTGCTAGACTGGGCTGTGGCAATAGGGGCGGAGGACTCAGGTGAGGGCTGGGGAGGAGACGAGAGGGATAGGGTTGGACCCGGGAGAAACTGAGCCATTGTGGGAGGGATGGGACCTAAACGGGGACGCCTTGGGTGGGAGTGTGGGGTGCAGAGTGCAGGGGCACGACATACAGCGGCAACACGTCCATCCCCAGACCCCGCTGTGGTGGGGATCCTGTCCAGCCAGCACATGGAGGAGTTGCTGGCCAACGCTTCCCTAGACCTGGAGCCCGAAAAGCTAGCACAGTTGACGGAGGCCTACGAGAGACCCGTCCGCCGGGCGCAGGGCACCCTGCTCTCAGCCGTCAGCTCCGTCTTTCTGAGCAACACCAACACAGACAGACTGGTCTCCCCCGTCACCTTTGCTTTCTCCCACCACGTGAGTCCCCAGGGGAAGGGCAGGGCCCTGCTGCCTATTTCACAGATGAGCCAGGCGTGCCCTAGGCCTTTGCACTGCTGTGTCGCGTCCCTGTGCCTGGGACCTCTTCCCCCGCGTCCTATTATCCTTACACGTTTTTAGTATTTGTTCAGATACCGCCTTTTCATTTGCCCATTCCCAACTTCTCATTTAAAATTACATCCTGAGCAGAGTATGGTGGCACATACCTGCAATCCCAACGCTTGGGAGGCTGAGGCAAGATTTTAGGTTTGAGCCCAGCCTAGGCAACTCTACAAGACGCTGTCTCAGAATTTCTATTTTTTTGGTACTGGGGGTGGAACTCGGGTCCTTGTGCTTTTGAAGCAGGCGGTGGAACCACTGAGCTAGATCCCCACCCCTGTAAGGGTTAGATTTGCAGCTCAGTGGTTGGAGCACTTGCCTAGCATGCACAAGCCTGTCCTCAGCACTGCCCGACAAAAACAACTTAGGACCTGGAAGCACAGCCTTCACCTGCATTGTCTTCCCCGTGGCATTCACTGCCTTCTGTTCTAGCAGTGTCCAGTTTTCTGTCAGGTGAATGACCTGTCCCTATCACTGTCATGGCCCCACCGGCCAGATCTGTGTCTGCCCTTCTCACTGAGCTGTCCCTAAGCCAGGTGCGCCTAGGACATTCAGTAAACAGCACTGTAGGGAGCAGCAGCTCAGGGTTGCTCCAAGCCAGACTGATGACCCAGTATCCCAGCAGCTGGAGGAGCCCGGGACAGAACTGATCTGCGCCTTCTGGAAGGATGGACACTGGGCCACCACGGGCTGCCGGAAGGTGGGGAGTGGGAAGAACAGCACCACCTGCCAGTGCGACCACCTGAGCAGCTTCGCTGTCCTCATGGCCCACTACCAGGTGGAGGTGAGCACTGGGGCCTCCGGGAACCACTGGGCAGCACTGAAGCGTCAGCCTGCCCGCCACGCCGACGCCTTTCCCCCAAGGCTCCCTGACCCCTGCGGGGCGGGGGCAGAGGTGAACCTCGGAGCAGAAACGGGGTGGGGGAAGGAGCCCAGGCCCCGCAGAACCCGCCCGCCTTGCTGCCCTAGGACTGGAAGCTGTCCCTGATCACCAAAGTGGGGCTGTCGCTGTCGCTCATTTGCCTGATGCTGTGCATCCTAACCTTTCTGCTGGTGCGGCCCATCCAGAGCTCACGCACCACGGTGCACCTGCACCTCTGCATCTGCCTTTTCCTGGGCTCTGCCATCTTCCTGGTGGGCATTGAGAACGTCGGTGGCCAGGTAGGCCCCTCCCCTTCGCACTCCCAACTGACCGAGCCAGCAGGAGTGGCAGCCCCTCCTTTTCACACCTGGCTCTGTCCGCGCCGTCGCACTCCCGCACTCCGATCCTGAGGGTGCGAGGCCACACCCGGCCCTGCCCACCTCAGCGTGCAGGTGTGCGAGGAGGCTGGTCCCGCCTTCCGGGTGCTGCCGCGTGGGACTGGCTGGGCTGCTCGTGCCCCGCCCCGATACAGCTCCGCCTCCACTGCACCCGCAGGTAGGGCTGCGCTGCCGCCTAGTGGCCGGGCTGCTGCACTACTTCTTCTTGGCCGCCTTCTGCTGGATGAGCCTAGAGGGCGTGGAGCTCTACTTCCTGGTAGTGCGCGTGTTCCAGGGCCAGGGCCTGGCTACGCGCTGGCAGTGCCTGATCGGTTATGGTGCACCCCTGATCATTGTGGCCATCTCAGCAGCGGCCAACAGCAGTGGCTATGGCCACACCGCCCAGTAAGTGGCGTAGCAGGGAGGGCGGGTGGGCAGTGGGGAGCCTGTCGCGTCACCATCGCTGACTGTCCCCTCTCCAGCTGCTGGCTGGACCCGAAGCAGGGCTTCCTCTGGAGCTTCCTGGGACCACTGGCCTTTGTCATCTTGGTAGGTGCCCCCACACCCGCTCCCCTCGTTGGCATCTCTGCGCCCCCCTAACTCATGTGCACCCACAGTGCAACGCTGTCATGTTCGTGGTCACTGTGTGGACGCTCATGCAGAAGTTCTCTGAGATCCACCCAAACATGAAGAAATTGCGGAGGGCGAGGTGAGGAGGGTGGCTGAGGCCCTAGGTCTCCTCTGCACCTGCCCTGCTGCAACTGCTTCCATCCCCGCAGGACGGTGACTGTCACGGCCGTGGCGCAGCTCTTCGTGCTGGGCTGCACCTGGGGCTTTGGCCTGTTCCTATTCAGCCCAGAGACATGGCACAGCACGGTGCTGGCCTACGTGTTCACTGTGCTCAACTGCCTGCAGGGTGCTTTTCTCTATGTGTTGCACTGTCTGCTCAACAAGAAGGTGAGCTGCAGGGACCACGGGCTGGGGAGGGGTACGGGTGTGTCCCCTGACCTGGTCTGGCCTGGTCCCGGCTGCAGGTTAGAGAGGAGTACCGGAAGTGGGTCTGTGCAGTCACTGGGAACAAGTACTCGGAATTTGCCTCCTCTGGTGGAAGCAGCCAGCAGACTCGGGTAAGGGCAGAGCCTGGGACACAGGGATGCTGGGGACCCCGGGGCAGCTTGGGCCTCATGGCTGCTCTCCCCCAGTCCCTCAGGCCATCAGAATCTGGGATGTGAAGGCCAGGCTTCCAGCCAGCAGCTTGTGTGTGCTGCGGCCAACGTCCTGTATCTTGCTGCGTGCAGTGCACAAGGCACAGCAGCTGTACTATGCTCCTGAACCTGAGAACCACAGGAGCAACCAATGGACCTGCTTCTGCCACACCCCAGCCGTGTCCTGGTGCACCAGCCAGGCCAGGGACAGGCTTGGGGCCCTGCCTCGACCTGCCCCTTTGTCCTCTGCCATCTGCCAGGCCACAAGAGGCCAGGAGCCCGGGCTCCACTTCCCTAAGCTAAGACTGATGTCAGGGCCAGAGTGCTGGCCATGCCGAGGCTCACGGTACAGAGGCTGCTGCCCACACCAGGGCACATAAGTCTCATGTTTTGTTTTTGTGTTTTTCTTCTCTTTTTTTTTTTTTTTTTTTTTTTTTTTT